GTGAAAAGCGAGTACAAGTGGCTGAGAGATAGAATCAGTGCCTAATCCTCGTTAATCGATTCAGAACGATTTTTAAATGTTTTTTTTTTGATAAAATAAATAATATTTGCGTATGGAACTAAAGAGCCGCAGCTTCACATCCAAAGAGCCACATGTGGCTCGCGAGCCGCAGGTTGCCGACCCCTGTGCTATACCAGATGATGCATGCTTAGAATTTTTTTTAATTAAAAAAATTTTACATTAATTTATCAGTTTAGTATTACATAGCAAATTATACTGTAGTCCTATTTAATTATTTGTATGATTTAATTTGAATTTTGCAAACTACAAAGTAATAATTATTATTAATTTATTTATAAATTATTGTTTCATTTTATGTGCTAGTATGCAATAATTTTTGGGAAAATTTTGTCCTGAAAATATTTTGCACCTTTGCTGCAGACTAGGGTGGCATTTCCAAATATCCAAGAAAGAGAACATTGTTTAAATGACAAAAGGCTATCATAAGTGTACATACAGTACATAGCGTCATATGAAAATTTCTTAAATTCCTTCTCCTTTGCCAAGTTGAGAGATTTACAGGACCATCATAGGCAAAAAGTATTAATTCAGAGCCACACAGATATGAGGCCTCAATAAAGTTAATTTTCACAAAAACTGAAAACATGAATTTTACTATTACAACACTAAACCTGTCATAAAAAGGCATTTGGTATGAGAGTGCAAGAAAAACTGCATTCTCCTTACCCTGGTATTTTTAAAGGGTGCTCCCAAGAGATAGTGACTCAAGCCTCAAGAAGTGTAAATACAGTACTGGATATTTGGAATTCCCAAATCCAAAATAATTAACCACACTTTGTCAGTTATAAAGTGAAAACCTTGTTTCATCACTAAATACAGGGTGGTTGTAAAGTAACTTGACCAACTGGTGGTGATCTTGGGAATGCATAAAGTAAGAAATCCATTGAATTTTTTTAGGATAAGTATAGGGTGACATGCATTTGCAATACACAAAAATAGGAGTAGAACACATATCACAATTACAGTTAATTTAATTGTATATTGAAAATTTCCAATACAAATACTGGGAATACCAATGAAACTGTCTGATGGAAAACAGCATAAGGCATTGGAATGGCATGTGCAGAACAAAAACAATGTTGGTGTTTGAACAATGGGAAATGAACAAGCCAATACCCATGACAGAAGGTTCTTCTATCATTGGTATTGGCTCACCATACAGGTTCATGGATGAGGTGGCAGCACTGTAGCCGAACCTTACTGTGACATCATCTGTGGAATATAAAATCATCTGTCTAACAGAATTCAAACAGCATACATTTTTCTGTTTTGGCTACGCATTTCACTGGTAACCAATGCAGAAAACAAGAGTCTTCCTGCCAAAGACATATGTCATTAATGCTCACATGAGAGCTTTCCTTCAAAATACAAGGATTATATAAAAACTACAAAATAAACTGGAACGATATATAAACTCTCACCTAAACGTCAAATTTCCAGAAAAAACACCCAAATTCAACATTCGAACGTTTTTGGCTACTCGTTAATCGCCCTTCATCAGGAAAAGTCAAAATGAAAATAACTGTTGTATTTACAGAATGTTGCCAAGTTGTACACGTAACTTTTAAAATTTTAAAAAATTGGTTCAAACATTAGCTATGGCCAGGGGTCGGCAACCTTTTGAGTCGGAAGAGCCAAAAATTACAATTTACAAAATTTCAAAGTTTTTAAAGAGCCACAAAATTTTTACATAACTTTGAGAAGATAATTCGCTTCTAACTCTTTTACTCGAAACAACAAACTATACGTCATAGCCAAAGCACTGGTGAAGACGCCAAATTGTCTTGCGTCGAAAGCGAATTAAACCTCATAGAAACATCCGACGACGGCGTCATTCGAGAGCTTCCGACAGACTGACGACAGTGACGACGCGTGTCACGGGGGAGAGGTGCAATGAAAAGCGAGTACAAGTGACTGAGAGATAGAATCGGTGCCTAATCCTCGTTAATCGATTCAGAACGATTTTTAAATGTTTTTGTTTTTGATAAAATAAATAATATTTGCTTATGGAACTAAAGAGCCGCAGCTTCACATCCAAAGAGCCGCATGTGGCTCGCGAGCCGCAGGTTGCCGACCCCTGGCTATGGCAAATGTTAAGCAACATATAATTTCATTTAAGAGTGTAAATAATACTTCCATGCATTTGGTGTGGGAATGTAATCCATGTTGATGCATGTTCTTTTTATGTCGGCCCTGTAGATTTCTGCGGTCTCTAATGTTCTTATATTTTATGCTATCTGTCAAATACCTTGTGTATTAGGGTTGCCTCCTCCCATACGGGGTAAATTCCTGGCTCAGTGGCATACTGGGCTAGAGCATATTGATGTTTCCTTTTGCCATGTCATATCTGTGATCACGTAACCAGGCTAGTAATGATCTGTATGTGGAACTAATGTAGGTTAGTGTCCAGTTGAACCTGTCAACCTTTAGTGGGATGTGATAAATTCCAGGTGCTTTAGCATCCACAGTTTCATCCTTGACATTAGATAAAAGGCAGAACAGTGGGTTTCCTCTTATATATAGGAAATTATACATTGCTTAATATTCATCATAGCCAATGTTCAAACACATTTTTAAAAATTTTTTAAATTACATGTACAACACGAAAACATTCTATAAATACAAGTTATTTTTATTTTGACTTTTCCTGATGAAGGCGTATTAACAAGTGGCCAAAAAAGTTCAAATGTTGAATTTGGGTGTTTTGCTGGAAATTTGACGTTAAGGTGAGAGTAAATACAAGGATTTCAATAGGGAGATAAATTGTGGCAACACCCATTGGTCTATCTGAAAGCAGCCTTAAGATTCTTTCTGTCCACTATTGTATTTCATTCGAATTTATACATATGTTTATTAACTTATCTGTAAACTTAAATACATATTCATTGTAAAGAATCTACCAGGGCAACATGTAGTAGAGTTACTTTGCAATATTGAAAGATATTATATGACAAATTTATTGATGGTGTTCCCACCTAAAGGGATAAATCAGTACATACAATATCCCTTCACTGCAGGAAATTTGGGCTTATACTAGCTCTGATCATTTTGTAACTGCCTGTATATTGTTTGGATTAGACATTTAGCTGTTAAATAGATCAAGAAAACATCCCATATACAGGTTGTAAAAAATTACCAAAAACAATGTTGATTTTATTAATACGAACCTTGCTCCTCTCTTCTTACTATATAGCGTTGCTGATGTTCCTTCACTAAGCTGGATAACATCGTTTTCAGTGACAAAAACCTGACAAGACGATACGATTGCCTGCTTGTCCGCCGTCTGGCGGGATGATTAAGCGTCAGCTACTGTCCCGTACACACCAAAACGTTGATAGTAACTCTCCTCTAATGTCAAAATTATAAAATATTAATAGTCGATGTTTATTGTGATAGTTTGGAATTTATTTTGAAATGATAATAATATATGAGTAATAATAATTATTATGAAATAAAAATTCAATAATGTTTACTGATATAGTTTCCCCCCTCTTTCTGCCCTCTGTGCACTAAGAGGTTCTTTTAATGAAGCCCATCGTAGATTTTGCGCCTTCGGCCATGCCCACAATGGGACAGCCGGATAGGGACGGACGGATATCGGATATATCCAGGACGGAGCACCTTCATTTTCCTCTGGTTTTTCTACCCGTCCGGATTATTCGTTTTCGGGTTCCTCAGAATGGTAGACTGAAACCTTAACTGTTCGGTCTTCAGGTCGTATAAATTAATAAGGCCGGATGGCCGAGGCGGTCAAGATGTCAGCTGACAGCTCTAGAAAACCGGGGATCAAATCAGGGATCACAACGCTAGGAAACGTTCGGGGATGATCTGTCTCGGATACGTCGGGTCATGTTCTTCACCATTCGGTCACCCAAAATGTAGGCTCGGTCGCACTAACGATGGGCATAAAAACAGACCTCTTAGTGCCCACAAGGTTGAAAGTAAACCGGATGGCCGAACGGTCAAGATGGCAGCCTACCACCCTGGGGGACCCGGAATCGAATCCAGACGGGTCAAAAAATCCCTAGAGATTTTCGGAGGATGTGGCCGTCCGGATATGTCGGGCCCCGTCGCTCACCACCCGGCCGCCCCATTGTGGGATTGGCCGAACCCACAATGGGCTTGCTAAAAGAAAGGCCCTCTTACAAGGGAACTGTCGGAGTGGCATCTAATAAATTTTAATAAAATTTAGTTAATAGTTACGTTAAAAGTATACAAACTCTATATTAAATTTGTAGTATTCACTAAAAGAGTTAATCAGAGTTATTAGCAATCAAATGTCGTACTATTTTATATGCGGATTTTTAAAAGTGAAAGGGTCGCGGAGGAAGACGGCGATATTACATTTAGAATAAATTCTGGAATTTTCGAAAATGGGAGAAGAATTAATAACATTTAGTTAATAATTATGTTAAAAGCATGCAATCTCTATATTAAATCTGTAGTACTTACTAAAAGTATTAATCAGGATTAATAACTATTAAATGTCGTACTATTTTATAGTAGTTTAA